AGCCATCCGGATGAAGGATTTCTCCGATGAATCCGGCCGCCATCGGTTTTGTGATTTCTTTTTAATCGCTGCCTTTTTGTCGGGTGAGAATCGTCGTAGCTTGTTGCTTTGCTGTGCTTGGAGTTTTCATTAACATCAATTCTATGCTCACCAACTCTCTTGGGACACCCGACATGTCGGCCGGCTTCCGGTGAAGATATCTTTGTTGTCCCAAGAAAGTTGGTGAGCGCGAGTTCCTATTTTGCCGAGAGGTGAGCACCGATGGTTGCTTTGTCTTGGAGGTATCGCCAAAGGCTCAAATCGATTTGCTTGACGTCGGCTTCTTTTGGTGGTGTGATGATGCTTTGGGTTTTTAGCCGGTATTTCTAATTCTTCTTCTGGCTTATCTCTGCAGCAATTGTGGCTATTTGTTTTCTCCCATTGTCGGCTGTGCTTTTGCCGCAATTTGGATTGCTGAACGTCCACAAATCAAAAGCACGCTTCAAATCGCTTCAAGAGAAAGGATACCGTTGGGTCCCGCATCTTAAGCAATAAGTACGGTAATGTGGTATCGCCATGAATTTTGCCGCTCTTTGGGCGTCCGAGGATCGCATGATATGACAAATCAAGTCTGCGACCTCAAATTTGATAAACTCGCTCGATAGTTCGCAGGAGTTCCAAAAGTGACGGTAAAGTAACTTGTCCGAGTGGCATGGCTGCTTTGCTTGGGTACTATTCTGTAAAAGGGGTGCTTGTTGGTGTAATCATCCCGGCGAGTTGTAGTCCCATCTTCCTTAGTGTTTCTCGAAAAGATGATGTTGAGTCCAGCTCCCCATCGATTAGTACTTTGGTGACAATCATACCGACAATAGTTGGGTCTAAAACCAGTGGGTAATGGCCTGCGTTCCCTACGCTAGTCCATTGGTCTTCTCTTGAAAATTAGATTGGATATTGTGACCAATTGAGATATCTTGGTGTAGCCGGTTCTGCTGTCATGATGGTTCGTAGTGCTAGTTTTTCTTGACGCTTGCTTGTGCAATCTGGGGCTCTGAGAAGATTATCGCTACTGCTCCCTCGGGTTTTGAAATCCTTTGTCTTCGTGGTTGTCTTCATCTTTCTTGTGATTGTCCTCTTTGGTGTTCTCCTTACTATCTTTTCTCGTATCGATCATTGAAAGTGTAGCGCTTTCGATGGTGTGTCTCCCGTTAGGATGTAGTGGCAACGTATGTTTTCAATGTCTTCATATCTTCCGGGTTTGGAAAACTTCTTTGATTTGTCGGCCATTGCCACCGTATTGTCCGGTCACGCTTTCTTTCTTGATGTCCATTATTTCGATGATTTTGCCTATCCGGTTCTCTCTTGGTTGCTTCTATCCGGAACCTTTCTCGTGTTTTTTCTTCTGCAGTAATCATTTTTTCTCTTGTTCGTCTCAATTCTTCATTGTTTCTCGGATTTTCTTTGCGAAGTCTTGAAATTGCCACCTAGCCATGATTCCGTGAGAAAAGCTTCAATTACTTCTCGTTCGGTGATGTCATGCACTTGAGCCCGCAGTTCACCGAATCGCCGATAGTAATTTCTGAGACTTTCGCCCCCCTTTTGCTTGAGTCCTTTCAGTTCGGCATGAGTGATCGGGTGTGTGATGATACCTGCGAAATTTTCGCAGAAAGCTCTTTGCAAGTCTTCCCAAGTTCTGATCGATCCTGGGTTCAATTTATCAAACCATTGAGGGGCATCGCTTCCAAAGGCCATGGGGAAGAACAAGGTTTTGATATCATCGTCTCCTCCGGCTAGTTCAATTGATTGTGAATATATTCTGAGCCATTGTCTTGGTTCGGTTTTGCCATCATACTTGGAGTGATTAGACGGTTTGAATTTGTGAGGTAATCGAACTGATGCCAACCTGTTTGCAAAACAGGGGAATCATCATGCGTTCGCTTCCTTGAATTCGGATTCGGCTCCTTCTTCCGCCAAGTGTTGTTTTGATGGGAATAATTTTGTGAGGTCATGCGGTAGGCCCTCTACTCCGGTCTTCCTTGGTTGTTCAAATTGATGGCCCCGACTATGTTCCTCCTACTTTCCCCGTTATGGCTTCCTTTGGTCCAAGTCTTTCAAAAGCGGACTTCCTTTGATTTTGATCTTCTTGCCTATGGGTTGTTGATCCGGCGGTATTCTTGATCGGGTTCTCTCTTCATGCGTTCTTGGGATCGTTGACCGGAGCAAGTCCTCGGAGCTGTTCGTATTTCTCCCGTGATGTGAAGTTGCCCCGAGTTCTTCTAATGCTTCTCGAATCTTATCGTAAGGCATACTCACCGTGTCGCGCTCTCTTGACCTCTTGTTGTGATTTTCTTTTGTCGATTTAGCCAATTCGACTCAGATCTGGTCCAGCTTCTCTCTGTTGTCGAGCGCGGTCTTTGGCGCCTTGTTTCAACTTGTTTTTCCTTTCTCTAGCCTCGCCTCGACTCTCTCGTTTCTCCATCGTAGCCTCGAGCAAAGGGTGATATGTTGGATTCTCGATTCATCCGATGACCTCGACATCGGGTGCTTCGGGGTTTAATGGCGACCGAGGACGTCGAACCATCAAAGACTTCCCGTGCGTGAGCTATTCCGTTATTGTCGTTAGTTTTCATACCGCCGGAGTTGCTTGATGACTTCATGGCGCGCCTCGATGTCGTAGATTGAGTCCCCTCTTGGTAAGGTAGAATAGCTGTTGTTGTTGTGCCGACTAGTTGGGTTCCGCTATCCTCGTGAACGGATCCTCGCCGATGGATGATATGATCTTGCGATGTTATCGTTAGAACGAGACCCTCCTGAGCTCCTGTCAGCGATATCCCAAGTGTTGATTTGAAAGACCTTTCAAACTGTCCCTGATAGGATTTTGTCGTGTTGTCCAGCCCAAATGGAAAAGAACTCGGCCTTTTGAAAAAATTCTGAGGGTAATCCGAGTTGTTTTGGGTTGTATTCTGGAATCTTGCCAAACAAGAACTCGACTTCTTGAAAGCACTCGAATAAGACTTCATCTCGGATACGAAGCTTGAATTCGAGTCGGATGCGTGTAGCTGTGGAATCTTATTCGAATCGGGTATTATGAGCTGCGCGAATCTTCTGATGAGCTGATCCGTCGTAGTTGTCGAAATAGAGGATTCTTCATGATGATCCGGATCTTTGAGGAGATGACTTTGAAGCTTGCCGTAGTTGTCTGCCTCGCAGATCCACGAGCCGAAGATGAGAATCGATCCCGTCGGGAAGATCATGTTATTGAGGTCCATCGAGCTCTCGGATGCAAAGTCGCCGAAAGCCCCTACCTAGCGCGCCAGCTGTCGATGTTTTACCACCGATAGCCTGCCACAGGGGTACCGTGGCAGTATAGTTCGGGCTTCGGCGTACGCTGAACTCGATGGTGAACGCAAAAGACAGTCGATTTATCCTGGTTCAGGCCCTCGATCGTAGATCGAGTAACGACCCTACGTCCAGTCGGCGTTTGCCTTTGCGTTGGATTGATTATGAAGTGTTATGTTGTACCCTCGTCGTTCAGGAGCTCTGCCCTCCTTTATATAGTCAGGAGGCCAGAGTCCTAATCGGTTTACAATGAGATTTCCTAGTAGGATTACTTAATAGTTCTATTACTAAGATTACATGGGAAGAATCCTAGTTGAACTAGATCTTCTCTCTCTCTTGCGGGGTATCCTGTGGGTCCCGCATCGACAATAGGGAACTATCAATACATGATGGAAGACATGGCAGTGCTCCCTGACATTACATTTTTGCACCTGATGGTCATGGCAAATGGACATGCCTTTGAGGCCAGCGCATTCCATGTTCTCAGATTGTCTACTGGTATAAGGAGGTTGGTGCTGCAGTTAGTTGCTACTGTCTCAGAGGTAAACCTATTCTTCGTTTACCTAATACTCTCCCCAGACACAGAAAAAAGGTAGCATTTTGGTCCCTAAAAGGCATTTTTGACAATCAATTTCAGTTAAAATATATATCGAAAGCCAAATTAAATTAAAGCATCATGAAACTGTTTTTCAAGGTAGATCGATGCATGCTGTTTTTATGAGAAAAGAAAACATGTGTTTGTATTTAGTTAGACATGGTCCCTAGGTAAAACACAACTCGTTTTCTTAGTTGAGTAAGTATAGAAGTTGCCAGGGAAGTAATGGGAAGAAACCTGCATTCATATTTTTTTTGGCAAATGTATGGTTTATTTCATATCCAAATGATAGCACTTTACTCTGTAGATTTAACTGTTGGTATACATTTGGGCTGTAAGTTGTTGCTCTCTTTCTAGTTATTGTTAGCCTGTTTGAAATATATGGTTGTGGACCTATGGTGAGTCGTTGGATGGCACTAAAGCAGATCAACCTTGTTATGTATATAAGAGTTAGAAAATAATACGGCAGTGAACATAAAGTTGAAGGAGTAATTGGCATAAGTATTTTTTTTAAAAAGGACGATAAAAATGTTCTGTTGATCTATTCAGAATCTATGCACTAGGATCGATTCAAAATCTCCTTAATTCTGAGCAATTAATAGCATGTTGCTGTGACATGAATTTTTCTATGATTTTGTAAACAGAAATTATGCTCTTGTGTGCTATCTTTTCTCTTGGTAGAAAATTATATTGCTGCAACTAGTTACTAGGCTCAAAAGTGTTCAGGAATCTGACTATTTACTCTCTCTCCTTTTTATCATGCACTCACCAATTAATTTTATTAAGTTAATATACTTCCTTGTGTTAGGCCCAAACTGTATGCTCATCTGATTGCAGATGCCTTCAGCGAGTAGAGTGGGAAACGGAGGAACTCTTGTTGAATCACCTTAAAGAAGTAGAAATTACTGGATGGAGAGGAACTGAACATGAAGTTGATTTTGTGAAACGACTTTTCGATTGGGGGACAAAGCTTAAAGAGATGACAGTAAATTTCCATCGTTCAATCTCCCGTGTCACACTTGTTTGGCTCACAGTTTACTGTTGATCCACTGCAGATCTGCTTCCCGCTGGGAAGGGTGGCCAACTGGCCATGACCATCTACGGGTTCCTGGCCACCCTGGTGTTCTCGGGCTTCATCGTGTACGACACCCACATGCTGCTCAAGCGCCACACCTACAACGAGTACATGGTCGCCGCCATCTCCCGCTACCTGGACGTCATCAACCTCTTCATGGCCCAGATGTCGCTCTCCTTGTGGATTTCTTAATGGACTATGTTATAATGATGGACTTCATAATGGATTATGTTGTAATGATGGACTTTTGTGAATTATGACTTGTGATGATGTTCTAAATAATGGTCTTGTATTTGTGGATGTATATATGTATATTTGTGGCGGTCATATTCGAATTTGAATTATATATATATGTGGTCAGATTTGAATTTGAATTATTTTTTTTTTTTGCTGAAAAATTCACTGTAGGGGCGGTTCTTGATACAGCCGCTCTTACAGAAGTCCACTACAGGGGCGGCTGAAAACACCAGCCGCCCCTACAGAGGGCACTGCAGGGGCGGTCAGAAAACCGCCCCTACATAGGCACCCTCTGTAGGAACACCCTGCGAAGGGCGACTGGCGTAGCCGCCCCTACAGAGGCTCTAGAGCCGCCCCTACAGTTAACTTCTGTAGTAGTGAACTAATGTTAAGGTTGCTTTCCTCAACTCGAAATTCAAGCGAGTTGGTAGTTTGGTAGTACTCCCTCCATCCTAAATTATAAGTCATTCCAAGAAACTTGGAGAGTGAAAGCATCTCAAGTTTGATCAAATTTATATGATAAGATAATAACATTTATGATGCCAACTAAGAATCATTAGACTTTTTATTAATTATATTTTCATAGTATACCTATTTGATGTCACAAATCTTTGTAATTCTGTATATAACTTTGGTTCTAGAGTATTAGTTTTTTCTGGTATCCAGCTCTCTTTCCGTGACATTTTTCCTTTTTTCTTCTTTTTTAATCTCTCTTGTTTTTCTTATAAACACAAATAATAAATCCATTACTATGGGTCTTTGAACTCTGAACCCTTCTATCTAGAACATTCAGAAACAAGCGATGATTGAGCTATGAGGCTGCGACGCGTCATCTCCCATCTTAAGTTTTCTTGATCTATGACACTCCCACATGGTCATGCTGAGCGCTTGAGATGGCAAGACCGCACAACGCAGTACTGGCGCCAATCCGCCCTACCCTGCCAGCTGATGGGACAGCGTGCGTGTGCAGCTTGACAAAGTTTTGACCTTTGACGTCGAGATGCACTGCCTGGCTACCATACCAAAACCCTAGAAGGCAAAAACTCGAGGATGGTGAGATTTATCTTAAAGATATTGTTTTTCAAAGTATGAGCAACGTTTTTTTTCTGTGACTATTTTTCTTTTTTTTTGAGACGATTCTATGACTATTTTTCTAATAATTATACATGGGGCCCTGTTTTTAGTCTACCTCCTCAAAATCACAAGATCAGCACTGCTTCCATGCCACAACCAATCTACGGCGACTCCAAAAGGGTTTCTATGAGCAGTTGTAGCGACTAAGGATCAGTTGCTATAACGTTTTACTGACCGATGCTATATGTCACAGTAAGTGGCGTCGGTATAAAACTATATCGTATATCGACAGATATTGGCTTTATGTTGACATTATCATGTATTGGCTTTATGTTGACATTATCCAACATCATGTACCGGTCTCGGGCCTTCCTCCCTCCTCAACATGAAACACCACAGTACAAATGAAGTTAATTATAGGACCTGCATAGGCCGGAAAATATAAACAAATAAAACACATGAAGTAAGGCCATTTTTGCCCCCAAATAGTTTGCGTCGACACATATGAGAAAAAGATCCCTTCCTTTTGGAACTGGGGCTGCACACAATAGTGTCCCCATGCACTATTATTCCTATGAAGCACAACAATTCTTCAGTTCTTGCCCCTAAATAATCTTGTTTATACAAAAAAACATAAAAATCCAATACATAGAGAGGTATTGTTGTGCCTATGAAAAAAATATTCGTAGGTAAAAGGGCAAAGTAATTTATCATGGCCTTTGAACCGACTTAACCACAACTCAAGACAGTGTCTGCTAGGAACTAGCAACTCAAGATAGAGCCGTTCACTGAAATCATCCAGGGCGCTGGCGCAGAGCACGACGGGTCACGCCTTAACGCGGTCCTAAATAAAAGTGCAGCACTGTCAATTGTCCCTCCCATATCGTACACACTTGTCCGGCCTGCTGTGATTTTTTTTTTAGAGTTTTCGGGCATAGCCCCAGTCTTTCAACCAAAGTCAAAAGACGGTTTAACCGTTTACAGCGTAGCAAGCGGCATTCCACTCGGAAAGAGTTTAAACTTTCAAATAACCCAGCCAACTGGCCACAGACCCACGACAGAAACAGACTTCGAAAGACGGAGAAAAAAAAGCCCTCATTACATAAGCCAACACCTACAACCTGACCAATGACCAAAGAGCATGCATGGGGGTCTGGGTGAACGAAACGGGCCCGGTATCAAATTAAGTTAAGAGGGTATATACGTGCGTGATGCCTGCATCCTCTACTTGCCAAGATGCACGGGCCGGGTGCGAAAATTGATTATATCACCAAAAGACGAGATGCAACGAAACGGGCAAAATTCGCTTTTCTTGTCACCATCTGCCAAGCAGGCCTTGCCGGGCCTCGCAGGCGTATGGCTACTTACCCATCGCATCATTTAGCCCAGCGGTCCAACCAGAAAATAATACAGAGACATTCTCTTGTTTCGTCAACGGCACAAAAATTGTTCCATAGAGAAAGGATGTACTCTCTAGTTTGGAAGAAATATTGTTTTTATAGAGAAGAAAGAAAATGTTAAATCAGTGAATGAACAACACGCTCCAGCTGGCAAGCAAAATTGCTCAATGGGGAAACAAAAAAAATGTTTGGTTACCAAAAAAAAATCTTTGTTTACTTATATGCTGCAGAAATGAATCAGTCACATGTGTCTATTCATGTTAATTAATGTGTCAGGAAGATGTTTGGGCTTTAAATTAAAATAATTTCAATTTTTACCAACCCAGTTATGGTTCTTTCCGGGTCCACCATATAGTAGATGTAAGTGCCCCAGTTGCTATTAGAACCATTCTATACATTATAGCAGCCAGTTGTGAACATAGCAAGTCCATACTGCCTGGTGATTTGAGATTGTTGGACGAAGCTACCACTTGGATGTTTCTGATATAACTGGCCTTGCTGAAACCTTCCTCTAGGAAGTGTCCACTACCCATCTGTGTAGAAGTTTTTTTTTTTGAAGACTTCACCAGAGGGGGGAGAGCCCCACCTGAATGATTTTCCATAGATTCCGGCAAGCCGGTAAATGGAGGGTGCCAGGCACCTAGAGTTTACATGGTCTTAATCGTACAGGGCATTAATTCATGACAAATAAATTACACCAGTGATCAGCAATGGAACGGTCTTAGGAACGAAGGCGGCTGCTCCATAGGCGACATGTTTCCCTGCAGCTGTACAAGAGGCGGCTCAGACAGGGTTGCTGATGGCGAAAGACGACGTCGTGGCGATGGTTCCAAATCTGCCAGCAACACAGTAGTATCATCATCAGGAAGTGCTTAGCCGGGATATGTGGTGGCCGTGGCATCTCCCATAGGTGAGTTGGCTCCGGAAGGTTGACCCCAGTCCAGCCAATATGATTCCAGAAAGCCGAAGGAACCAGGCAGCGAAAGATGAGGTGATCGGCAGTCTCTGCCGCATTACCACAGAGTTGGCAAATGTCGTCGTCGAGGACATGCTTGAGGTGGAGGTTGTAGCGGCACTGTATGCGGTTGTTTACCAATAACCAGCCGAAAAAACGTACCCTGGGGGGCGCTCGGTTTCTCCAAACGAAGCTAGAGAAATTGCACGGGGAGCCCATGGTCTTGGATGCCTGATACACGGCTGAAGCATGGAGAGTTCCCAGCTGGCCGGCAAATTTGGAATATCTGCTGTCCGGAGCTTGTGTTAAAGTGATGTTGCTGATCATTTCATTGAGGGCATGCAGCTCTTCACTTGCTTGGGGTGACAGCCTGGAGACCAACATCGGTTGCAAACCGATGGATCTGTGTAGAAGTTTGGATGGTATTAGGTGAGTACACCTCGCCTACCCACATGATAGAGGCACTGTCTGCCGAGTAGGAGAATATGGATGATGGTTAGTAGCCCACAACATAGCTTCTCACTTACAATCGGCAGGTCTTCTCCTTAGTTGCTTGGTTCATTAAAACAAATGAATGGAGTGTATATGTAGCACTGTCCCAGCACTTTATTTAAATTTTAACACCAGAACGGCAAAGAAACCCGTTCTAACGATTATTCTATCCATTATAAATTTGATTGGAGCCGGCATAATATGCTTGCTAGCTTATCATTCTTGTTACTGCTGCAGCTCCACGTACGGCAGGAGCAGCGGCAGCCCAAGGCCGGCCCGCCTGGTCTTGTTATACTCCACAAGCCTGTCCACGTCCGGAATCAGCCCCTTCACAGCGTCCAGCGCGCAGAACCGCTGTGCCCACGCCACCAGCAGCGGCGTCTTGGTGGCGTCGACGACCTTCACCCCGCAGATGGCCTCGGTGGCGTACAGCCATCCAAGGTGGCCGCCCAGCACGACGTCCACGAGCCCCACGCTGTCCCCTCCGAAGAACGGCTTCCCCTTGGAGCACTTCTTGAACGCCTGTTCCAGCGTCTGGAGAACCGCCACGACTTGCGTCGCCGCCTGCACCCTCTCCTCGGCCGTCCTGCCTCTGAAAATGGGTACCCACGTGCGGTACAACTGCCATGCAGAAAGAATCGGTGTCGTATGAGAGTGAGGCAAGCAATTGGTGGTTTGGAGAGGGTGCCATGAGTCCATGACTGCTAGTACACGTACCTTGTCGTCGACGTAGGAGGCCCAGAAGCGAGCAACCGCACGGTCGTAAGGGTCAGAGGGAAGGATGGGCGCGCCGGCGACGTTTGGGAAAGCCTCGTCTATGTACTGCACGATGATCTGAGACTCGCAGACAGGCTTGCCGTCGTGGATGAGAACGGGCACCTTCTTGTGCACGGGGTTGGACTTGAGGAGAAGCTCGCTCTTGTCAGAGAGGTTCTCCTCGGTGTAAACGTAGGTGAGGCCTTTGAGGTTGAGCGCGATGCGCGCCCTGATCACGAACAGGCTCGCCCACAACCCCAGCAGCGTAAGACCTTCGCCACCACCGGGGGCGTCTCCTTCCATGCTAGCTGCGGCTTCGAGTGATACCTTTGAACTGGCAACACCCCCCCCCCCTTTTTTTTGAGAGAGAGAGATGAGAACGGACCCTTCTTTAGTGTGAGCTGTGGTGGTCATGCGTGTGTGCACTATATATATCTCTATCTCTACCCCTATAATACACCACTTCAAATTATCCTACAGCCACCAAACAAATCACACCTCTACAGTCATGACTTAAACTACGTCCACTCCACAAAACGCACACAGAAAAATATGACATTAAAAACGTACGCACCAAATTAACTCTCACTTATTCTCTCTCCTTACTCAACCACATCCGACGGCTGATATTCTTTGGATCTCCCACCCCCCATCTCCCCGCTTCACCGCTCCACCCCACCCACGCGTCTTCACCCTCGAGCATCCCTCACGATTGCCCGCACTCCGCCCACGCTCCGCGATGACGGCTGAAGGGTCTACTTCTGATAGGATTCGATTGGATTTGATTCCGGCTGTGTCCAACCCTAGCTTCCATCTCGATCCAATCCCAGTTCCACTTCTTCCTCCTCCTCGGCGGCAGAGGCGGCCGTCGTCGAATGAGTTGAAGATGACGGCATACTCCAAGGAAAGGTCAGGGAAAGGAAGGATTTGAGGGAAGAGAGGAGGCTGTTGGGCTCCTCCTCCATGGAGGGCGAGGCGGATGGCGGCGGCGACTCCTTCGTGCTGTGCTCCGGCGTCCACGCGGGCCTCAAGCGCGAATTCGCCTTCGCCATCGCCTCGCAGGCCGCCCTTTCGGCCTCATCCGCACCCCTCGGCCGCACCCGCCGCTCATCCCGCACCCTCAACTCATCGGCCGCTTTGACCTCCTCCGCCGCCGCCTCGACATCCTCCTTCTCAACCCCCGACACCAAGCCAAAGGCCAAGCGCCCGCGCCCACCAGATCCTCTCCCTCCCCCTCCACCAGAGGATGCCCCCGCCCCCGTAGAAGACCATGAGGGGGCCGCTGTCGAGCTGCCCGGCCCTGTGCTTGCCTTGATGGCTGCCGCTGGGCCCAGCCCTCCGCCGACGCCTTCGACTCCGCGACCCCATGCCGACGCGGATGCGGATCTGGCACACCGCGACAACATCATCATCCTGCCGGAGTCGTCGCCTAGGCGCATCACGCGCTCCATGCTCTAGCCCAAGTCTCCCCCTCCTACCGCCGCTCGTTCTCCTGACAATGCGGCTCCGCTCAAACCCAAACCGGAACCGCCGGAGGAAGAGGAGGATGGCAAGCCTGTTCCAGCGTTGAGGCGCTTCACTAGATCACTCTTGGTCAAGGATAAGGACAGCAACGACGACGACCTCTCAGGCACCACCACCGCCAGCAATGCCTCCTCCTCCCCTTCGCCCAACACCACCACCACCACAAGTACCAGCAGCAACAAGAGGAATAAGAATACAAACAAGATTCCCACCAACCTCAGGGAGCTGCTTGCCACCGGCCTGCTTGAAGGTCAGCCCGTCAAGTACATCATGAGGAAAGGCAAGGTATGTATGTCGCCATACTTTCTCTATTTACTGACCCACTGTTAAATCACAAATCTGTTCCCTTCACACTTCTTTCTTACTAAGAAATGTGAGCAAAAATAAATTGCAATGAAAAAATAATCTACAATATATTGCACGTTTCTTAATGATGATTTCATTTCATACACTTGTCAAGGTGTCAGGTGCATCAAAGTAATAAGACACAATGCTGGATAGGTTAGTATTCCCTTCGTTCCAAATTGTAAGCCATTCCTGCTTTTCTAGATACATAGTTTTTGCAATTTGGAACGGAAGGAGTATAAAATAACAAAACAAAACAAGTGCTTCGTCACTTCTGTGATATAAGCATGGCAGCGTAAGACCTTCGCCATCACCGCCTTTTTTTTTTTTTTTGAGAGAGAGAGATGAGAACGGACCCTTCTTTAGTGTGAGCTGTGGTGGGTCATGCGTGTGTGCACTATATATACGTACACACACGGGGACTAGCTCTTGACTTCCGTGAACCGAGAGTAGCAAATTCTGTTTCGTTCTCACACGCGGGACGGCTTGAGTGAGACAGGTGCAGCCCATGTGTTGGATACCGTTCGTCACCAATGACGCGCTGTTGATCGATCTGGATTTTCTAGATCTTATATAGTTGATGACTGGCCACCTGTTGGAGGAGCGTTGCGGTGCTTTGGATCATTGGATGCATGATACCTGACTGGGGCATCCCACGCTAACCAATCATCACGAACACACGAATTATCATGCATGTCCGATTCCTTTTATATATAACACTAGTATATATATACATAATTCATATTCAATTTTATTCAAGGGCCACACATTCCTTACAAAGCTCATCCATTCTCACATAAAGCAGGGGGGCTAGTACTTAATTCTTTACGTGGTTCGCGGTGAAGGAGATATATTGCATCAAATAACAGATTGTTGTAAATAATTGATAATGATAAGTAGCTTGTGGGATTCTGATTGAGCACTGGAAGGAGCAGGGAGCAGTCGTACCTTGTCTCAAGGACACGTAGGAACAGAGTGATGGAGGACCCCGACCCCGACCCACACCGCTCATTCCTCGTCTCCAACGCCCCAACACCAAATCCACCCAGATCCGCATCATCCCTAGCTACCCCTCCCCATCAATCGCAAGATCCGCAACCGCCTTTGCCTGATCTACCTACTGATGGGTCTCTCCCTGAGGCGCATGCAGCAGCCACGGGGATCGAAGCTGCCAAAGGCCTAGTCCATGGAGAGCAAGAGTCACCGGCGCCTCAAGTGCAACAGTCGCCACCAGCTCAAGCTCTTCCTCAACCGGCAAGTCCAACTTTGATTGACTAGGATCTGCAGGAGAGGGCCAGCTGGGCGCAGCTCCCGGATTTGGCAAAGGATTTGAAAAGTTTCAAAGAGCAAAGAGCGGGCTTGGAGCTGAGTGAGGGCAGGCCCATCCTCAATCCGCCAATGTCAGATCCACCAGAGATTTCCTCCGAAAAATAAGCCATTGGCAACTAGAAACCAGCTAATGGAACTATTAGTTAGCGACCCTTCAGATAATAATTAGCAGGTTTATTAGGAGGTCTGTTTGGATCTATTAGTACTAATTTTAGCTGCTAATTTTTAGTGCTAATGAATCCAAACAGGCCCTTAGCCACCTTATTAACTCGCCTATTTGATGCACTAAAGCTAATTTTTAGCTAACTAGCAATTAGCTCATGTATCAAACAAACCCTAAGCTGCATATTACACCGTAACCTCGGTCTAATGCTTTGTTACGAATTTTATGTTGTACTTAAAGTGAACCATCCACCAGCAAAATCAGACAATCAGGCTCCGGCTGTTTAATTTATTATCGTCCGAAAGTATTTTCCAGGAACCAGGAACACCAGAATTTGTGTGCAACGCTCACATTCTACGAAAATAACTCTAGCCAGTAGGCACCGAGGTTGTGTTTCCTGCTGGTTAGATTCTTTAAAAGAACACTACACCTACACCATAACTAGAGCACAGCCTTGACTTGTCGGAAGCTTTAGAACAGAGTAGCGCACATTATTTTATTTTTATTAAACTAGGTTAGTGCCCGTGCGTTGCAATGAGAATAAAATAATGCCCGGCCACCTTAGTGTAGGTTAAGTGGCAGCCAAAGTCAAGGCCTTGAACATGCTCTCCCTCCATAGAAAGCTTCTTCTAATTTTGTCAATAGCCTTGAGAGCCCAGGGTGGTAGGTCCACAGATCAACGTGGAAGTGAGCTATAAAACACATTATCTTATTCAGAATTTCTACATACACAAAATGTCGATACTTCTTGCTTTCTTCGCCCTGTTTGGTTGAGCTAAAATCATATATAGCATGAACCTGGGAATAATTTGTAAATGTAATGTACACATGCTCAAGTAAATACAAATATTCATGCGTATTATGATTTCAAATAATATTTCTCAAGCTCTCCGTCATAGATAATAAACTGTATACAATCGGTAGATAAATTGTGTACCATCCGGCTACCCACAGAACTTATTCTTCTCATAGGTCACCCAAATTACAGAACTTTATTCACTCAATACTAACTCCAGGCATTAAAATGGATTACATTTTTCAGGTCACAGTGCTGAAGTTTGTAAAACGTTTGATTAATCTGATCATCATAGCATTGAAGACCATTTACACTGCAAGTCATCTCTCCGACCACTTTGACTTCAGCACCACACCGTCAGGAATGCATTATCAGTTACCTGGTCACAACAACCGAGATTGATAGCAGGCTTTGAAATGATGTGTCTGTTATTTTCAAGCACGAGTCCATTCTCAAGCTCCTTAAGCTGCTGGAGCACGGAAGAGCGAGTGCTTGACCCCCATAAAGGATTTGTTAAAAGGATAGAAAATTAGCAATATTAACCATTGTTGGAAACTTGGAGATCTCAGGAGAACCTAACTTGGGTAACTAAAAGAGCTACGCAAATAATATTATCAAAGTTGTTAAAAAAAAGGTATCTGAAATAAATTAAAAAGATGAGGCAAAATCTTTGAAAACTGTACATATGGAACTATTCCAAATGGAAAAAGGTTTGCACATGACTTTTTCCATTTTTCTTATAATTATCTCTATCTTAACAGTAATGAGAAAATTCACCCCCTTATATTTCAAAAAAAAAAGAACACAACTTCACATTATCAAGAGGATGTAATGAACCTTTACAGGCTGCTACACAATATCAAATGGTACGTGAGACTAACATTCTCGAAGTAGGATTGAATTAGTCTGTGATGGAATACTCCAAAATGCACTACAAGTACAGTTTCCTTTTTTTTACCTTGAAGCTATCGTATGACTCCTGTAAAATATAGCACTTGTCTAGCATGATCTGCACAATCTCTGCAAGAAGCATCAGGAACTTGTTGCAAGCCACTGGTGACCTACAATGGCAACTAACATCTTTGTCAAGTTCAGGTTAGTACTACAATGTAAGCATCAGTAGAAACCCAAAAAAAAAGATTCGGCTTGTGAGAGCCATGAAAAAAATCAGCTACAATAGAACATGCAATAAAAAATGGTTATAAATTCTAAACACTATTCTTGATTCACGTAGAGATAGTAGGATCGTTGTACCACGAATACGGAACTTCTCTACACAGATCTACCAATTTTTACATCACTCTGCAGTCTGCATCCATGAAGCCAATTTCAGAGGAATGGTGAAACCAACATTACTTGATCTGGACACTGACAAAATAGGCACTGGGCATTTACTGAGGTATAATTTATTAGAATATCTTTTTTCAAACTTCAAAGCCCCTTAAATCCGGTAAGCACCACTTGTAGTTATATGTACCTATGGGGATTAAGCACTAACTATGTGATAAAAAAAAGTACAGCAACTGTTAATACATAAAGAACCTGAAAGACTAGTTACTTGTGTGTTATTTTTTCCGTCTTGCCTCAGCATCCACAGAAAAATAAAACAGAAGAGAGAAGTGGGAAGGAGTTTCTTTGTATTTGATCTGAGCACACAGAAACTAATTGAATTTCATGTACTGCAGCAGCTGTGACCGGGGTTCCTATTTGAAACTAACCTTCTTAGTGTGTTGGCACGGTGTTAAAGGTTTCCTACAGCTTCTGGGTGACTGCTGCATAGTAGACGGGAAATGATTATACAAATGTCTCCCTTTTCCTGATTCATTCTTTCTTATACTCACCCCACTCCAAATGAAATCAATTTGAAGACAGTTTATTCATTCTTAGTAAAAATCAGATAAAGATAAAAAAGTTGTCATAGGATCATAGCCTTCACAAGTGTCCGCATCTGTGAGGCCTTGTATGCATGCACCAACAATCCATGCAACCAGTTTGGCTGGCTTCTGAATTTAAGTAGGTTCGTCACAAACTAGCGCCTAATCAGATTGAGACAGGAAAAATCAAGGAGATTAGAAGAATTTGGGGGAAGAGGAATCGAGGCGGGTGAAGGCAGCTCGGAGCCCAGGAGACGGAACCAATGGCGGAACCAGGAACTTTAGGTAGGGGGGCGTGCAAAACACTGTGACTGCATGTTCACTACCACAGAACGGAATTTTCTTGGCGACCAAAAACCGCCAAGGAATATAGGAAAACCGCCAAGAAAATGTTTTTTGGCGGTGCACCGCCAAGCATGA